TATATATATATATATATATATATATATAATCTAATGTAATGTAATTTAATGGGTATTTATATAGCGCATTAATTGAGTATGGCCATACACCCAAAGCGCTTCACAATCATAAGGGGGGTCTCTCCACACCACCACCAGTGTGCAGCAACCACTTGGATGATGCGACGGCTGCCACAGGACAACGGCGCCAGTGCGCTCACCACACACCAGCTATTGGTAGAGTGGAGAGACAGTGATAGAGCCAATTCAGTGGAAGAGGATGATTGGGAGGCCATGATCGTATGGGCCGATAGAGGGACTTTGGCCAGGACACCTGGGTTACACCCCTGCTCTTTCACAAGAAGTGCCATGGGATTTTTAATGACCACAGAGAGTCAGGACCTCGGTTTAACGTCTCATCCGAAAGACGGCACCCACTGACAGTGTAGTGTCCCCTTCACTTTTACTGGGGCATAAGGACTCACATAGACCTCAGGTTGAGCGCCCCCTGCTGGCCTCACTAACACCACTTCCAACAGCAACCTAGTGTTCCCTAGTGGTCTCCCATCCAGGTACTAACCAGGCTCAGCCCTGCTTAGCTTCAGTGAGTAACTGGTCTTGGGCTGCAGGGTTATATGGCTGTGGCATGTTATATATTTATTGTAAAAATAAATGTTTAAATAAACTCTATTAAAAAACACCCCCTCCTTACTCTAGCACTTAATTCTCTGAGTATAAAATGTTTGTATAATTAGCACTGGTTCTTTTCCTTGTTTAATCGCTGAATGCCTACTCAATTGTAAGTCGCTTTGGACAAAAGCGTCTAAAATGATGAAGAACAAACACTAAAGATCACATGACACGACACAACCAACAGGAAACAAGACACATGACAAAGACAACCAATGAAGATATAGACACATGACTAAAATAACCAAAAAAATCATGACACGAACAAAGCAGGAAACAGAAAAACACGACAACATCATAACTCATGTCAAAATGGAACGTTCTGCATTGTGGCAGTAATCGTAATTATTATACTATTAGTTTAAATGCAGAGTTTATTTCTGGTATACCAGAGGTTTTTCAATTTCCTCAAGCTATCACATGATCACCACATTTTCATTTTAGTTAAAGATGTAAGTTTTCATCACTTTAAAAATGTCTAGACACTATCATTTTAATCAAATGTAAGCCCTCCGGATGAATGACAGTCTTTTTTTATTATTATTTCCGCAGCAGAAAACAGTCAAAAGTCAAAATTATTAGCCCTCTTGTGATTTTTTTTTTTCAAACAGAGTAAGGAACTTTTAACAGTATTTCCAATAATATTTGTTCTTCCGGAAAAAGTCTTATTTCTTTTATTTTGCCTAGAATAAAAATAGTTTTACTTTTCAAAAAACATTTTAAAGCTATTTTTGTTTTCAATTGTCTATAGAACAAACCATCGCTATACAATGACTTGGCCCAATGACCCTAACTTTCCTCTTTAACCTAATTTAGGCTTTAGATTAAACTTTAATTTGAATGCTAGTGTCATGAAAAATATCGAGTAAAATACTATTTACTGTCATCATGGTAAAGATAAAATAAATCAGTTATTAGAAATGAGTTATTAAAACTATTATGTAATAAGTAAAACAAAATCTTCTCTCCGTTAAACAGAAATTGGGGAAACAGATATACATGTGGCTAATAATTCAGAAAGGCTAATATTTCTGTCTTCAACTGTCTATTTAACACTCTTTGATCAATATGAATAACAGTCAGCTGAGTGTGAACCTGAACACAAACACACAGTACCAACACGAATGTGCAAACAAATATACATTCTCTGCTCCAAATATGTGCGTATGTGTGTGTGTGTGTGTGTGTGTGTGTGTGTGTGTGTGTGTGTGTGTGTGTGTGTGTTTTCAATCTGAAGTGCTGATCTGCACTGATGCTCTTCTCCTCCTGTCCCAGAAAATGAGGAGGCGTGACGTGAGCTTTTCAGGAAGACTTATATAATACAGACGGAGAATATGGAGAGAAAGAGAGAGAGAGTGAATATGGAGGATCCATTAATGCACATAATATAAGCATTCGGAGTTATAATGAGTGCATTTCTTGAGCGCCGTGTCTGATTAAGAAACTTCAGATCTTCAGCTTCAGATTAATAATCCTTGAAGAGGCTTCGTTTGGTGTTAATAACAGCTCGACGCTGAAGTTTCATCATTATGAAATTCATTATAATTAATACATTTAAATGACACCATTAAAACATTTATTATTTCTATAAACATATATTTTTTATTTGTTTCAGCTATTATAAACAGATTTGTTTAAAAAGATTTTAAAAGAATAGTTTATAATAATACCAAAACCACAGCTAATCCTATTTATTTATATATTTATTTATTTTATTGTTATTTATTACAATACTTGTATTTTATTAATGTTTATTAACAGGGTACATTATACATTTATACATTTATAATGACAATAATAATAATAATAATAATAATAATAATAATAATAATAATAATAATAATACCAGTGATAATAATAATAACAGTGACAATAATAATAATAATAATAATAATAATAATAATAATAATAATAATAATAATAATTCTTATTAATTCTTATAGCCAAAATGGATTAAATTAATTTATTTCCTCAAAATTCTACACACAAAATCACATGTACATAACTATTTACAGCCTTTGCTCAATACTTTGTTAATACACCTTTGGCAGAAATTACAGCCACAAGTCTTTTTGAATATGATGCCACAAGCTTGGCACAACTGTCACTGGGAAATTTTGCCCATTCCTCTTTGCAGAACCTCTTAAGCTCTATCCGGTTGGATGGGAAGCCAAGGTGTACAGCCATTTTCAGATCTCTCCAGATTTGTTCAATAGGATTTAGGTCTGGGCTCTGGCTAGGCCACTCAAGGAAATTTACCAAGTTGTTGTGAAGCCACTCCATTGATATTTTGGCCGTGTGCTTTGGGACATTGTCCTGCAGGAAGATGAACCCAGTCTGAGGTCAAAAGCACTCTGAAGCAGCTTTCCTGACTAGTCTTCCAGTTCCTGCTGCTGAAAAACATCCCCACAGCATGACGCTGCCACCACTATGCTTCACTTTAGGGATGGTATTAGCCTGATGATTAACGGTGCCTGGTTTTCACAACGCTGGCATTCACTCCTAAGAGTTCAAGTTTAGTCTCATCAGAACAAAGAATTTGGTTTCTTATGGTCTTTGATGCCTTTTGGCAAATTCCAGGTGGGGAGGGGTTTCTGTCAGGCTACTCTACCATTCAGGCCTGATTGTTGGATTGCTGCACAGATGGTTGTCCTTCTGTAAGGTTCTCCTCTCTTCACAGAAGAATGTTGGAGCTCAGACAGAGTGACTATTGGGTTATTGATCACCTCCCTGACTAAGGCCTTTCTCCCGCGATCACTCAAATTAGATAGCCGGCCAGCTCTAGGATGAGTCCTGGTTGCTTGATTTTTGCTTTGACATGCACTGTCAACCCTGGAACCTTAAATAAACAGGTGTATGCCTTTTTAAATCATGTCCAATCAACTGAATTTACCTCAGGTGAACTCCAATTAATCTGCTGAAAAATAGCAAGAATGATCAGTGGAAACAGAATGTACCTGAGCTCAATTTACAGCTTTACTACAAAGGCTGTGAACACTTATGTTATAAGTATTTTTTTAATTTTTCTGTTTTTTTATTTTTAATAAATTTGCAAAAATTAAAAAAATATATATGTATATTTTTTTTACATTGTCATTGTGGGGTATTGTATGTTGAACTTTGAGTGAATCAATTAATTGAATTCATTTTGGAATAAGGCTGTAACATAAAAAAATGTGGAAAAAGTGAAGCGTTATGAATCTTAGCACATTTTTGTATGAATGAACTTGTACAAATTTGTACAAATTAGCCACTTAACTGACAAAACCTAAAATAGTTACGTTTCCCCAATGA